CTGCCCTGCCCTGCCCTGCCCTGCCCTGCCCTGCCCTGCCCTGCCCTGCCCTGCCCTGCCCTGCCCTGCCCTGCCCTGCCCTGCCCTGCCCTGCCCTGCCCTGCCCTGCCCTGCCCTGCCCTGCCCTGCCCTGCCCTGCCCTGCCCTGCCCTGCCCTGCCCTGTCTCAGCCTGTGAGGCTGTCATCCAGTGAATAGGTAGTTGTATCAGAGGTGACAAGATTGCAGAGCTAGGTTTTCAGAACAGAATTGGACCCTCACAAGTGGCAGTTTGGAAATTTCAATGGCTGTTTTCTTTTGCATATACAGCCTGAGATGGCAGCAGGCCCTTCAAGAATCTCTCTGATTAGTCCACCTCAGGATGGACGCATGGGTAAGTAAAATTTTCTGTGAACTTACTTCAAATCCATGCACAAACTAGGATATTTTCCCTGAAAGTCACATTTCACCAAAGTTGTCAGTACTTACCTACTTATGGGCTGTCCTCCACTAGCTGGCTGGGAAATTTTGTGTTCACCACAGCAGAGATACTGTGAACCATTGTAGGACAAGCTCTTGGGATAATGCACCATGGAAAAAAACTCATCTTGTTTTACTGTCTCCTTGTAGCTTAATCAAACATTGTTTTGCCTCTTTATTTGCTGGTAATTGACTTGGGTTGCTGGTTCATTGCCCTGGTAGCTCTTGTCCAATGATCCTTCCAGACTCTGATTCTTCTCATGTGAGCTCCCTAATATCCACAGCCCTCCTTGCGCACTGGGCACTGGGTGTGAGAGCTGTCATTACCTAACAGATAAAATTCCAAAATCCACAGCCTTTCCATCCTCATAGTTCTAGGAACCGCATGGCCATTCCCCCTGCTCTGACCTGGTCATGAGTAGAGAGAAAGCTCTGTGAATAAAATGCTTGCAGTGAAAGCATGAGGACCTGAGTTCAATTCCCCAGGTATCTACATGAAAAAACAGGTACCACAGTTTACATTCCAGTGCTAAGAGAGCGGAAAGAGATGGATCCCTGGAGTTCACTAGACAACCATTCCAGCTGAACTGGCAAGTTTCAGATTTGACTACTGGCAAGACTCATATATCTCAAAGACTAAAGTAGAGAATGATTGAGGAAGCTACCTAGCATTAACCCCTGGGCTCTAGGTGTGTGTATGTATACAAACACACACACACACACACACACACACACACACACACACACACACACACACACAGAGAGAGAGAGACAGAGACAGAGAGACAGAGAGATAGACGACACAGACACAGACACAGACACAGACACAGACACAGAGAGAAACAGTTAACATGGTTCATAAAATGTTACCAGCCACTGTGTGGTGTCCTTGGTTCTGTCTGGTTGGGAATGGTGGGTAAGTGAGGAAGAGCTCTGTCAGTGCTGATGGTCTTGGCAGCTGTTATAAGCCTTGGCTTCTTCTGCCAGGCTGCAGGCAGGAGAAGGTGCCATTCTGTAGTGTTATGATTTATGTGCAGGCCTCACTGGTACCTCAGTATTAGGAAACTAGTGTTATAGTGATTATGTAGGCCTGGAAAATTAGGATTTCCCGACCCTTGACAGTGACTATCGTTAAAGCTTCAATATCTAAGAGGCCACGATTCCCCAGATTTCAGGCCTAGGATGTCTGAAACCTTGGCTTTGGAGCTTGGTCAATCTCCACAACACTTCAGTTGCCTCTCATTGCTGTTGCCACTAACACGGCCACCACTAGACACTGGGTGGAATAAGGCTGAGTTCTCAGACAACCATGTAACAAAAGTGGAATACATGTCAGACATGGACCACAGAGTGTAGTCATTATTAATGTTTCCTGTGTGAGAGATCTATGGTTCCAGATCAGCAACTGTGCATCAGTGATATACCAGGTAGAAGGGCCATCCCATGATGCCCACAGCACCAAGCCCTTTGCTTTTAAGTAGGCAGGACTTCCTGGAAGGCCCATAGTTGCTGACACTTCTGCTGCCTCTGCTATTGCTACTGTTTGTATTATAGTTAGTGATATGGCTTTTGCCACTGTCACCACTGTGACAGTCACTGTTTCCGTGCCTCAGCTGCTGCTGTGGTTCCCACTGAAACTACTTCTACAGTTATTGTTCCTACCGTTGCTTCAACTTTCTTCTTGATTTAACCAGCTCATCCTGTCATACTAATTATGAAAATCTGAAGTAGGCAAGAATACTTAAGAGAAGACTTTTATTGGGTCTAATGTTTCAATACCCAGATGCAGAGTAAGAAATATCTCCAGACTGGCTTCAAAAGTGAGTTAAACAACCTACTTATACAGCCACAAAGAGGTTTGCAACAATGACAGCCATTATCATGTAAATGGCCTGCTTCATTCACCAGTTATGGCATTGTCGATTTTATATAGTCACAATCCCTCTATCAGATCAGCAGAGGATATGCTTCCCTCTGTCTTGGTTGAAAACTTAACTGAAATTTGTGATAGCAGAGTCTAGCACAGCTGTTTGAAATCATTGTGGCAATGGCATGCATGCCTTTGAGAGCTGGATCTGTGCTTCAGCAGCAAGCAGCTCAGTCAATGCTGTCATAAGGGTAGTCCAACTGGCTTCTTGACTGACAGTCCTTAATTCAAGGCAGCCGTGATACCAGGAAGGAGTCTATTATTATTATTATTATTATTATTATTATTATTATTATTATTATTATTATTATTATTATTATTATTATTATTATTATTATTATTTCATACATTACATCCTGACCATAGGTTCCCCTCCCTCCAAACCTCCCAGTTCCTCCCTTACCATTCCCCCCCCCATTCAGTTCTCTCTTTCCCTTCAGAAAAAAGGAAAGATAAAAAGATCAGGCCTCCCAGGAATATCAACTGAACATGGCATAACAAGTTACAGTAATACGCACAAACCCTTAAGGCTGGACGAGGCAGCCCAGTAGGAAGAAAGAGTTCTAACAACATGCAAAAAAGTCAGAGACACCCCCACTCCCACTGTTAGGAGAGTCCCACAAGAACACCCAGCTATACAACCATAATGCATATGCAGCTCAGATCCATACAGGTTCTGTGATTGTTGCTTCAATCTCTGTGTCCTCTGCTTAGTTGATATGGGGGTTGTGTTCTCACGGTGTCCTCAACCCCTTTGCCTACAATCCTTTGGCTGTGAATCTCTGCATCTGCTCCCATCGGTTGCTGGATGGTAGACACCCATCTGTGAGTATAGCAGAATATTGTTAGTAATCATTTCATTGTTTTTGTTTGTTTGTTTGTTGCCAGTCATCTTCTATCCTGGGTCTCTGAGTGGTCCAGCCTCTGGCTCTTGACCATCCAGGCAATATTAGGCATGAACTCCCTCTGGTGGTGTGGACCTCAAGTTGGATCAGTCATCGATTGGCCACTCTCACAAGTTCTGCACCATTATTACTCCGGCTAATCTTGTACAGGCAGGACAGATTCTCCGTCAAAGGTTTTTTGGCTGGGTTAGTGTTCCAGTGCCACTGCTGCAAACCTTGCCTAGTCATAGAAGATAGCTAGGTTAGGCTTCTTCTCCCACATTGCTAGGGTTACTGCAAGTTGCCACTGTGCTAGGTTTCCATATTACCCCGCAAATGCTTCCCTATTTCCACTTGTTTCTCCCAGTCCTCCCTGCCTGATCCCTCCCGTTTCCATCCCCACTCACCCCCAGTTCACAAAAAAAAAAAAAAATTAATTTATTTCCCCTTCCCAGAGAGATCCATGTGTCCCCCCAGAGCCCTCCTTGTTACTCAGCCTTTCTGGATCTGTGGATTGTAGCAAGGTTATCCTTTATTTAACAGCTAATGTCCACTTATAAGTGAGTACATACCATGTTTGTCTTGCTGGGTCTGGGTTACTTCACTCAAAATAATTTGCTGCAGATTTCATGTCATTGTGGTACACTGTGTAAATATACCACATTTTCTTTATCCATTCTTTTATTGAGGTTGTTTCTAGGTTGTTTCCAGATTCTGGCTATTACGAATAAAGCTATTATGAACATAGTTGAGTTTGTGTCCTTGTGTTAGGATGGAGTGCCCTTTGGGTATATGCCAAAGAGTGGTGTAGCCAGGACTTGAGGTAGATGATTCCCAGTTATCTGAGGAATTATCATATTGATTTCCATAGTGGATGTACAACTTTGCCTTCCCATCAGCAATGGGGGAGTGTTCCCCTTGCATTACATCCTTGACAGCATGAGCTGGTTTTGAACTTAGGTATTCTGACAAGTATAAGATGGAGTCTCAAAGTAGTTTTAATTTGTATTTCCCTGACAGCTAAGGATGTTAAACATTTCTTTAAGTGTTTCTCAGACATTTGAGATACCTTTGTTGAGAATTCTCTGTTTAGATCTGTACCCCATTTTTAATTGGATTATTTGATTTGTTGATTTCTAGTTTCTTGAGTTCTTCATGTATTTTGGAAATTAGCCCTCTGTCAGCTTTGGAGTTAGTGAAAATCTTTTCCCATTATGTAGGCTGCTATTTGTCCTATTGACATTGTCCTTTGCTGTACATCAGTTTTTCTGTTTAATGATGTCCCATCTGTTGATTGTTGATCTTATTGCCTGCACTGTCAATGTTCTGTTCAGGAAGTTGTCTCCTGTGCCGATCCCCACTTTCTTTTCTATTAGGTTCAGTGTGTCTGATTTTATGTTGAGGTCTTTGATCCACTTGGACTTGAATTTTGTGCAGGGTGATAGATATGGATCTATTTGCATTTTCTTCATGGTGATACCCAGTTAGACCAGCACCATTTGTTGAAAATGGTTTCTTTTTTCTATTATGTATTTTTTGCTTCTTTATCAAAAATCGGGTGTCTATAGGTATGTGAATTCAAGTCTAGTCTTTGATTGGATTCCATTGATCAACCTGTCTGTTTTTAATGCCAATACCATGTAGTTTTTATTACTTTAGGACTGTAATACAGCTTGAAATCAGGGCTGGTGATACCTCTGGAAGTTCTTTTATTGTACAGGATTGTTTTAGCTATCCTGGGTTTTTTGTTTTTCCATATTAATCTGAGTGTTACCCTTTCAGGGTCTGTAATGAATTGTGTTGGAATTTTTATGGGGATAGCATTGAATCTGTAGATTGCCTTTGGTAGGATGGCCATTTTAACTGTTAATCCTATTGATCCATGAGCATGGGAAATCTTTCCATCTTCTGATATCTTCTTCTGTTTCTTTCTTAAAAGGCTTGAAGTTTTTGTTATACAAGCCTTTCATTGTTTGGTTAGAGTTACACCAAGATATATTATTTGTGGCTGTTATGAAGGGTGTTGTTTCTCTGATTTCTTTCTCAGCCCATTTGCCATTTGTGGATAAGAGGTGTACTGATTTTTTGTTGCAGTCAATCTTGTATCTAGCCACTTCACTGAAGATGTTTATCAGTTGTAGGAATTCCGTGATAGAATTTTTGGGGTCTTTCATATCATCTGCAAATAATGATGCTTTGACTTCTTCCTCTCCAGTTTGTATCTCCTTAATCTCCTTTGGTTGTTTTATTGCTCCAGCTACAACTTCAAATACTATATTGAATAGATATGGAGAGACTAGACAGCCTTATCTTGTTCCTGATTTTAGTAAAATTGCTTTGAGTTTCTCTCCATTTAATTTGATGTTGGCTATCAGCTTGCTGTAAATTGCCTTTATTATGTTTATGTATGTTCCTTTTATCCCTAATCTAACACATTTATCATAAAGAGGTGTTGGCCGGACATTGGTGGCACACAACTTTAGTCCCAGCACTCAGGAGACAGAGGCAGGGGGATCTCTGTGAGCTAGCCTGGTCTACAGAGTGAGTTCTAGGGCAGGCTCCAAAGCAATACAGAGAAACCCTGTCTCAAAAAAAAAAAAGGTGTTGGATTTTTGACAAGGGCATTTTCAGCATCTAACAAAATGATCATGGGGTTTTTTTCTTCCATTTGTTTATATAGTGGATTACATTGACTAATTTTCGTATGTTGAACTACCCTGCATCTCTGGGATGAAGCCCACTTGACAAGCTTCTTGATGTGTCCTTAGATTGGGTTTGCAAGTATTTTGCTGAGTATTTTTACATCTATGTTCATGAGAGAAATTGATCTATAATTCTTTCTTTGTTGAATCTTTGTGTGGTTTGGGTAGCAGGGTGACTGTGGCCTCATAAAATGAATTTAATAATGTTCCTTTTGTTTGTGTTTTGTGAAATAATCTGAGGAGTTTCAACATTAGCTCTTCTTTGAAAGTCTGGTAGAATTCTGTGCTAAAACCATCTGGCCTGGGCTTTTTTTGGTTAGAAGATTTTTAATGACTCCTTCTCTATTTCCTTGGCCATAATAGTTTATTTAAATTGTTTATCTGTTCTTGATTTAACTTTGGTAAGTGGTATCTATCAAAAAATTATTCACTTCTTTTTAGATTTTCCAGTTTTGTGGCTTACAGGTTTTTAAAGTATGACCTAAAGATTCCTTTGATTTCCTTGGTGTCTGATTTTATGTCAGCTTTTTGTTTCTGATTTTGTTGATTTGGATACTTTCTGTCTTTCTTTTAGTTAGTTTGGATAAGGGTTTGTTTATATTGTTGGTGTTCTCAAAGAACCAACTTTTGTTTCATTGATTCTTTGTATTGTTTTCTTTGTTTCTGTTTTGGATGGGCTTCCTTCTTTTTCTTCTACAGCTTTTAGGTGTGCAGTGAAGTTGTTAGTATCAGATCTCTTTAATTTCTTTTTTTGTTTTCTTTTTGGTTTTTCAAGACAGGTTTCTCTGTGTAACTTTGTAGCCTGTCCTGGAACTCGCTGTGTAGACCCGGCTGGCCTCAAACTCACAGAGATCTGCAGGGGTTATTTCAGTTTCCTGTGTCTGTTGAAACTTGCTTTGTAATCAGTTTTGGAGTATATCCCATGAGGTGCTGAGAAGAAAGTGTATTCTTTTTTTTTTTTTTTTTTTTTTTTTTTGGCACTCGCTCTGGAGACCAGGCTGGCCTCGAACTCACAGAGATCCACTTGCCTCTGTCTCCTGAGTGCTGGGATGAAAGGCGTGTGCCACCAATGCCCAGCGAAAGTGTATTCTTTTGTGTTTGAGTGAAATGTTCTGTAGATATCTGTTAGGTCCATTTGGTTCATAGCATCTGTTGGCTCCAGTATGCCTGTATTTATTTTTTGTGTGGATGATTCGTCCATTAGTGAGAGTGGGGTATTGAAGTCTCCCATTGTCAATGTATGAGGGTCGTCAACCCAGCAAAAAAGCAGAGATTGTCAGACTGGCATAAAAATTCTACCTACATTGTGTCTATAAGAAATATACTCAATTTAAAGGTACAAATAGGTGAAGGAAAACCTACAGAGCAGACATCATGCAAACAGCAACCAGAAAGGAACTAGAATGGTTTTTATTCATAGCAGAAAAAGTAAATTTTAAGATAACTATTGCTAGTAACAAAGGAACATTTTATGATGCTAAATGTTTACTATATTAGGAAACTAAAACAATTACTGTGTGTAGACAATAATCCAAATATATGGGGTCGAAACTCAGCTGGTCTGGTTGGCTCTGGGCCCGACTACTGGCATCAAGCTGCCAGTTTATTTGAATTGTTCACATTATCTTCAAGTTGAAAAGGGGCATAGGTGAAAAATAGAGCACAAGACACATGTTCCTTCTGTGGCAGTGGGAAGGGTTTGGGGTGCATGGTGGCTAAGTAGTCACACTCAGAGCTGCCTAGAGTCAGAGATGATCTGTGGGTACACATGCCACCTGATACTGGTCTCATAATGGAGCCATGACCACACCTGCAGAGAAGCAGCAGCAGGTATGATCCGGTACTGTGACACACTAAAACTATGCAATGTGTTTTATTCCCTCCACAGGCAGTGTCTCCTGCCGGGGAACACAGCAACTCAGCTTGACACCCAGCCATGCAAGCATGACATCGGCTATCAGGTAGGTCCTCATTAGGGTAAAACATAAGCCAAACAAAACTTCCAGCCAGTGTTGAAGTTGAAAGGTTGCCTCTTAACCCTGTAACCATGTTTGGAGAATGCTATATATTTCACTTTATAGTTTGAGTTTTTTTAATCTGAAGTATTACTTAGATTCCTGAAAAAGAACTACTTAATGGCTGCACAATAACTCCTTAAAGAAGTAAGCTAGGGTCACAAATGTTTCCTGTAAAAGCCAAGAGGTAAATAATCTTGCTTCTCATACAGCTCCTCACTCTGCCTTTGTATGAGGAGTGTGGCTGGAGGAGTAGAAGCTAGCAGTCTGACTGTGCCCCACAAAGTACTTCACAGAAGCAGTGGCGTGGTCTATGGCTATGGTATACCAACTCTAAGGACATACCTTTCACTCAGCCACACCTTTCTCTGTGGACAGGTAGGTGGTTCCTAGTGTCTGTCACACATTCTGAGCACTCAAAGGCCAGTCTCCAGAAGGCAAGCCCTGCTCTTTCAGCTGCTTTCCTTGAACATCCTACAATGCCATATCAAGTCTGCATTTACCACCCACCTCTAGCTAACCCAGCTGCAGTAAGCACATGGCCTGGTCCATGTAGCCATGTCTGCTTCTTGGGCTCTGAGGTTATGTGCATTTGTCCATTGGTTGAAGTGCCTGACTTCTCTAGACTACATAGTTATACACACAGGGCAAATATGTTGCTGAGTGCCCTGGCTCTGTTTGAATCATCTGTGGTAAAGATGGCAGCCGAGATGGCTACCTAGCGAGTATTGCAGAAAGGGCAGGGAAAAGTGAGCATAAACTTGTTCTGTGATTTCTGTGGAAGGCACGAAGTGTTGTTTGTTTGTTCTTATAACTCTGTGGACCCTGGCCTCACTGGCAGTCCCTGCTCATCCAGAATGTACAGGTAAGAGAAAGGTTAGTATGTGTGGATTTAAAAAAGGAAGATAGGAATGTGGGCAAGTAGGTTTGCTTGTGAGCAGTGTGCCCACAAGCCAACTGTTCATGAGTTACAGAAGTTAGCTACCCCAGGATGAGCAGTGTCCCCAAGAACTACAAGGTTCCAGGGTGTCCAAAACCCATAAAATCTAGAAAAAGTAGAGATTAGCAAAGAAGAGGAATCCAAGGGGAATCCAGTCAGCTGAATGATAGCACCATGCTGAGTATAGCCTGTAAGGTGAGTCTGGGGAGCCTGGTCAGCACACGTGTCAAGACTCATCTTTCTGGAAGCAGTAGTCAAAAACATTGTCTGAACAAGCTTGCCAAGAAAGCTTCCATAACCTTAAGAATGCTGAGAATAAGCCAGGCATTGGTGGTGCACTCCTTTAATCCCAGCACTTGGGAGGCAGAGGCAGGGGGATCTCTGTGAGGTCAAGGCCACCCTGGTCTACAGAGCTAGTTCCAGGACAGCCTCCAAAGCTACACAGGGAAACCCTGTCTCAAAAAAAACAAAAAACAAAAAACAAAAGCAAAAGAGGATGCTGAGAATGAAACCTGGAGCCCTTGGTGTCTAAAGGATGAGTAGAAAGATATAGGATGGCCTGAGAAAGCAAGATGGTACCACATGGTGAAAAGGGCTTGGGGAAGGTAGAGTAAGGTGGCTTCTAGGAACAGGTAAATGCAGGCTGACGCTGGCTGTGCTGACAGAGCAGATGGTGAAGTTTTAAAGACCCTGGCTCCCTTTGTTCCTGTTGAGTAACTCATTTTCATGGACCCTAAGGAAAGTGAAAATGCCTCTTGACTGTGGTCCTAGGGTAGCTGACAGAATATGGACAGCCTCCTGAGTGGTCCTGTTTACCATCTTCTCAGGCTAGAGCAGGCCTTATTCATCTTGAGGACTCAGAGCGCGTTTTTTTCATCAAGAGATGACCTTAAAGGCCACACAGTAGTCAGAGCTCGGATGACCATATTACCATAAATAAGAAGAACATCTGTGACTGTTTTTGTTTAATTTGTTGTTAGAGTTCCACCATTGCAGATGCCCTACAAGGAACTATCGCCAGCTCCCGTGTCACAGCTATCCAGCAGAGCAGCAGGAGGGCCTTCTCCCAGTGTTAGTAGCTCATGGACTGGACTACCCCGGCCACCCATCAGCATTTCAGGCCTGCTGCAGAGGCAGTGTGCAGGCAAGTGCTCAGCTGGCTTATTGGCACCAAGGCTGCTCTCATAAGCGTGCATACATGAGGTGTTTATGTAGATAACATGTGGTGAGGACAAACACCAAACCTCACACTCCTCAGTTTCTTGGCAGTAGTTCAGAAACCCATTAGTGCTGGTTCCTGTCTCCATGAAAGAACTAACCTGATATGAAATTTTAAAAACACATGTTTAAGCCAATGAACTCCTTTTTTCAACTTTTTTTGAGTTTTTTGTTTGTTTGTTTTTTGTTTTTTGTTTTTTGGGGGTTGTTTTTTTTTGTTTGTTTGTTTTTGTTTTTGTTTCTCAAAACAGGGTTTCTCTGTATTGTTTTGGAGCCTGTCCTGGAACTTGCTCGGTAGACCAGGCTAGCCTCAAACTCACAGAGATCTACCTGCCTCTGCCTGCAGAGTGCTGGAATTAAAGCTGTGTGCCACCAACGCCTGGCTCAACTTATGTTTCTTATTTGATATTTGCATTCTTGTTTTCTTCAGCAGTATAGAATTAAGAAGTCATTTCAAAGCTCACAATTCCTTACATCTCTTAATACTTCCTATAGGGTCAGCGTCCCCTAGGGGGATGGACACTGAGAAGATGAGCCCATTCTTGCCTTCCACACCTGCAAATCCACGCTCTACAGCCAGCCCCTGGCATGTGTGTGTTCCTAGGTAAATATCACTGTACAGTTCATTCTAGAGAGATGGTGTAACTAAATAAAGTAGCTTTCTGATAAAATAGCAGTCTGGATAGCCTTATAGAATTTTTTGGCACCTGTATTTGGCACCTGACACTGTAGAATTCTCATAAATGTGGCTATGGAGGCAAAGTGAGCAGCCACCTGGGGCTCATTGTCAGGGTTCTCCAGTTATAACTCTCTGGAATTCAGGATGTCAGGCTAGTGGCACACCATAACATATGTGCACAGAACAACCCCCCCATGGATGATTCCATTTCCTCCTTGTGTTGTGGGTTTGCAGTGGCATAGTTCTGTTATTTGGAGTGTGTGGTGCTATGTGCCATGGGCAGATCTCTGCAGAGACCTTGCAGGTAAGGCCTAAGGGCATAGAACCTGTGCTTTGTTGAACAGCAGACCCTTCCTGTGGAACACATCTGGCACTCATAGGTAAGTGGCATGTATCTCAGTCCCAATCCCTCTGTCTCTCATAATTCAACACCCTAAGGTCTCGGGAAGGGGCTAACCCTTTACTTTCTCTTTGCCTATAATTTTGTCAGAGAACATGTCTGGTTCTGGAGAGAACATCCACTCTGCAGATAGGCTGAGGTGCAGGCAAACTGCACACTGAATTATTCTGTGAGTGTTGTTGCCAGTGTTCACCTCCTCAGGAGGCTATGTGACCCAGCCATGGCTAAAGACCCTGGCTCCCTTTGTTCCTGTTGAGTAACTCATTTTCATGGACCCTAAGGAAAGTGAAAATGCCTCTTGACTGTGGTCCTAGGGTAGCTGACAGAATATGGACAGCCTCCTGAGTGGTCCTGTTTACCATCTTCTCAGGCTAGAGCAGGCCTTATTCATCTTGAGGACTCAGAGCGCGTTTTTTTCATCAAGAGATGACCTTAAAGGCCACACAGTAGTCAGAGCTCGGATGACCATATTACCATAAATAAGAAGAACATCTGTGACTGTTTTTGTTTAATTTGTTGTTAGAGTTCCACCATTGCAGATGCCCTACAAGGAACTATCGCCAGCTCCCGTGTCACAGCTATCCAGCAGAGCAGCAGGAGGGCCTTCTCCCAGTGTTAGTAGCTCATGGACTGGACTACCCCGGCCACCCATCAGCATTTCAGGCCTGCTGCAGAGGCAGTGTGCAGGCAAGTGCTCAGCTGGCTTATTGGCACCAAGGCTGCTCTCATAAGCGTGCATACATGAGGTGTTTATGTAGATAACATGTGGTGAGGACAAACACCAAACCTCACACTCCTCAGTTTCTTGGCAGTAGTTCAGAAACCCATTAGTGCTGGTTCCTGTCTCCATGAAAGAACTAACCTGATATGAAATTTTAAAAACACATGTTTAAGCCAATGAACTCCTTTTTTCAACTTTTTTTGAGTTTTTTGTTTGTTTGTTTTTTGTTTTTTGTTTTTTGGGGGTTGTTTTTTTTTGTTTGTTTGTTTTTGTTTTTGTTTCTCAAAACAGGGTTTCTCTGTATTGTTTTGGAGCCTGTCCTGGAACTTGCTCGGTAGACCAGGCTAGCCTCAAACTCACAGAGATCTACCTGCCTCTGCCTGCAGAGTGCTGGAATTAAAGCTGTGTGCCACCAACGCCTGGCTCAACTTATGTTTCTTATTTGATATTTGCATTCTTGTTTTCTTCAGCAGTATAGAATTAAGAAGTCATTTCAAAGCTCACAATTCCTTACATCTCTTAATACTTCCTATAGGGTCAGCGTCCCCTAGGGGGATGGACACTGAGAAGATGAGCCCATTCTTGCCTTCCACACCTGCAAATCCACGCTCTACAGCCAGCCCCTGGCATGTGTGTGTTCCTAGGTAAATATCACTGTACAGTTCATTCTAGAGAGATGGTGTAACTAAATAAAGTAGCTTTCTGATAAAATAGCAGTCTGGATAGCCTTATAGAATTTTTTGGCACCTGTATTTGGCACCTGACACTGTAGAATTCTCATAAATGTGGCTATGGAGGCAAAGTGAGCAGCCACCTGGGGCTCATTGTCAGGGTTCTCCAGTTATAACTCTCTGGAATTCAGGATGTCAGGCTAGTGGCACACCATAACATATGTGCACAGAACAACCCCCCCATGGATGATTCCATTTCCTCCTTGTGTTGTGGGTTTGCAGTGGCATAGTTCTGTTATTTGGAGTGTGTGGTGCTATGTGCCATGGGCAGATCTCTGCAGAGACCTTGCAGGTAAGGCCTAAGGGCATAGAACCTGTGCTTTGTTGAACAGCAGACCCTTCCTGTGGAACACATCTGGCACTCATAGGTAAGTGGCATGTATCTCAGTCCCAATCCCTCTGTCTCTCATAATTCAACACCCTAAGGTCTCGGGAAGGGGCTAACCCTTTACTTTCTCTTTGCCTATAATTTTGTCAGAGAACATGTCTGGTTCTGGAGAGAACATCCACTCTGCAGATAGGCTGAGGTGCAGGCAAACTGCACACTGAATTATTCTGTGAGTGTTGTTGCCAGTGTTCACCTCCTCAGGAGGCTATGTGACCCAGCCATGGCTTTCCTCAAAGAGTGCACTTGATCCTAGAAGAATGTGATAGGTGTTCAGAAATCTTGTCGTAATGTACCTGTTCTAAGTTGATTCCATTCCCAGAATTTTTTTGTAAAAATATTTTTATAAATTCTTTGTAAATTTCATGCAATGTATTTTGATCATATTCACCACTTAGTCTTCTTTTTGTTTTGTTTTCTTGGTTTTTTGAGACAGGGTCTCTCTGTATTGCTTTGGAGCCTATCCTAGCACTCGCTCTGTAGACCAGACTGGCCTCAAACTCACAGAGATCTACCTGCCTCTGTCTCCGGAGTGCTGGGACTAAAAGTGTGCACCACCAACACCCAGCCACCACTTACTCTTACTCTTTAAAAATACTTACATTATTTTATTTCATTCTATGTTTATGTGTCTGTGTGAGTATCTCTACATATGGGAGAGCAGGACTCTGCTGAATCCAGAAGAGGATCCCTTAGGGCTCAAGCTAGAGACATTAGTGAGCCACCTAACAAGGGTGCTAGCATCTGAACTCTGGTCCTCAAGATTGAACAGCAAACATTCTTTTTCTTGTTATTTGGTGTAGCTTGGGCAGGGCTGAGTGTTGGCTTTTGTTTTTGTTTTTGTTTTTTTAAGATAGGTTCTCTCCCATAGTCCTGGCTATACTGGAATTCATTATATAGACCAAGCTGCTTGGAACTCACAGAGATCTGCCTGCCTCTTCCCCTCTGGTGCTGGGATTAAAGGCATGAGCCACTACACCTAGTTAGCAAGCACTCTTAATCCCTGAGCCAGCTCTACACCTCCAATTCCCAGAAATTTATAAAATCCATGTTTATGATATAAATATTTTCTGTCATATAATGAAAACATGATTACTTAATGCTAAGATGTCAAATAACTGTGAAATGTAAATGATCTGTGTTTATGATACCTCAGTGTGAACCTTGAGCCTAACCCTAACCCCAGGGGTAAGGTGCAGAGGGGCACAGTAGACCGAGCCCCACACTCGTGACTATAGTGTTGCTCAGGGAAGCAGTGTTGAAAACAATGCTGAGGGACCCAGCATTGCATCACAGGAGCCCTGGGTCACAGGGACTCATTATTCTGACGTTATCTTAAATGTATACAGTTTCTTCCATTGCTTGAATTATATTCTACACATACATTTTTTAAAGTCTTTTTTAAGATTTATTTATTTATTATGTATACAGTGTTCTGTCTGTCTGAACGACAGAAGAGGGCACCGGATCTCATAACAGATGGTTGGGAGCTACCATGTGGTTGCTGGGAATTGAACTCAGGACCTCTGGAAGAGCAGCCAGTGCTCTTAACCTCTGAGCCATCTCTCCAGCCCCCTACACATACATTTTGATACCATGATTTTTAGCATTTTATACTATTTTATTTTGTTACAGTTGAGCTTTAGGGAGCCATTTAGTTCCGGGGCATATTTGGTGGAGTTGAGATGTTTACCTTGTTGGCCCTTTCATCAGCACTTATCACTAACACCAGTCCATCTGTTGTTCTTTTCCAGTAATCTTCACTTAAGGAAACATGTAGGTAGCTGCCCAAACCCTGCTACTTGCACAAGTGGTAGTACTCCAAGGTGGGACTCCTGGGAGTCTCTAATCAATACTGGAAGCCCACATTCATCCCCCAACAGCAGCATAGAAGTGTGAATTATTCAGAGACAAGGTGTCTGGAAGTCAAGGGCCAGCGGTGGGTGGTGGGGGCAGCAGAGAAGACTGTGGAGGGGAAGCACCCTGACCCTAGAAGAGCAGTATCTTCCCTGCTTGCCACAGTCCCGCCTGCAGTCCATCCATCCACAGCTGAGCTCTGCCTTGGCCTTGGCCTGTCATGATAACTCAGTGGCATGCTGTGTCAGATGGTCACTTTTATTTCCTAAAATCACAATGTAGCAGAGTTCAGAAGTCACCTTTGGCTCCTCCCTAACTGTATAGATGTATAGGCCTCCTTTCCCTGTGAGCATCCCTCTAAGCCAACAAGTGAAGCCCTTGCCAAGAGACCCAAGGGAGCATAGCTACAAGTGCTTCATAGTCTCAATATGTGTTACACATGACCAGGAAAATTAACACAGTTGTCAATATTTTTTGTTTGCTAAGTTTCTGAGTTTGAGGGGGGAGGAAAACTTTTAAGACTAAAGATAATATGTTTATAAACAGAAAATGTCATCACCACGTGAGATTCTGAGGGAATATTCTAGAAGAAAGTGACCAAGAGGAATTAAATCTGAAAGGTTTTTATTTTACATTTAAATATTTTTGTGTGTGTATGTATGCATACAGGTCAGAGTTAGTTTTCTCCTTCTACGTTGTGAGTTTTAGGCTTCAAACTCAAGTCATCGGGCTTGTCAGGGACCGTCTTTACCTGCTGAGCCATCTCACCATCACTAGGCTGTTCATTGGAGCCAGAATGAGTAAGCTAGTGCGATGTTCTTTAGGCCAATGTTACAATTCCAATTCAGATTGGACAAACCAATTCCTTTAAGATTTTTGCTGTTAATAGTGATATTTTATGAA